AGCCTCTGTCCCGCGCCGGCACCTCGGAACCATGTCGGCAAGGCTCTGCCGCCGATGAGGGTTCCCCTGCTGCGAGCGGGCCCCCTGGAACCTCGCGGGGACTTGCCCTGCATTGTGTCTGTGAAGATAGATCTTGTGACGTTTGCCCCCGAGCGGATACCGTGGTTCGTGCTCAGGGAGCATGGTTAGTGGTGTGTTTCTGCCGTGGGAAGGATGGATGTGAACGCTGCAAGTGCTTAAGTTAGGACCAGTTTGTTGCATATGTAGAACTTCCCACAGAATTGGAAGAGTTGACAGAAGTGACCTGTCAGTAGCACATGTGCTCAAGCTGAAGGCTCACTCTATCCATTCCTTGCATTTCCTATTTCTTAGCCCTTTTAATTGCAAAAATCAAATCCATTCTTTTTGGCCTAATTGGTGGCAACAGGGGTGGGAGGAGGAGATACAAGTAGCAATTTTTATCTATCTATCTATCTATCTATATATAATCTACATATATAAAAGGCTAATATGCTAAATGTCCCTCCACCTGTCCCACCGGTGTCTATGATGCGCACTGACCACCAGGGGACAGACGCTCAAGGTAGGAGCTGCTGTGACATGCCCTGGCCATTTACAGAGAAACAGCACTGCAACCTAGAGCCCACAAAGCAACACTCGGCTTCCCCCAAGTGGGACCCAGGCCCCACCACCACCCCAGAGCTACAGCCCACCAAATCGCAGCCCACTCTGCCGAGAACCCCCCATAGCGCAAAATGCGGCCCAGAGCCCAGCCCTGAAACTGAAGCGGTAGCTGGGGGCACCGGGTAATGACATCACAAGCAACACCTGGCTTCCTCTTCCTAGTGACTAGCCTCCTTGCAGTTTCTTCAGCCCAGAAACACGACTTGCTTTATAGCCAGGTGGAAACATTTTACACTGTAAATAAATGTCTGTGAAGCATTTTCCCATGCTTCATCTCATTTGCTCCTCACAGAAGTCCTGGAGTAGGTAGATAGGAGACTTGGTGGAATCCTATTTTCTTTTCATTAGCTGGAAAAAGGACATTTAGAAAGCTTAGAAACTTGACCTCACTAAAAAGAAGTAAGAAATGGAGGACCTTAAAAATGGCTTTAGGTTTTCTCACTGTGCAGAATATAGTCAAACACTGCTGCAGTTAAATATTTTTTTTAAATATATTTTTTTATTGATTTCAGAGAGGAAGGGAGAAGGAAAGAGAGCTAGAAACATCAATGATGAGAGAGAATCATTGATTGGCTGCCTCCTGCATGCCCCCCCACTGGGGATCAAGCCTGCAACCCAGGCATGTGCCCTTGGCCAGAATCGAACCTGGGACCCTTCAATCCGCAGGCTGACACTCTATCCACTGAGCCAAGCCGGCCAGAGCTGCAGTTAAATATTTTATCCCTTTGTTCTCCCTGCGTGATCTACAATAATAATGGCTTCATGTTGATATTTACTGCTGTGTTGCTGACAATCATCTGAAAGAGAATTTGGGATGCTTCACTGGCCTGGAATAAGTTTAACTAACTCAGAAAGCAGGTCTAATTAAGCAAGCTTATCTATACATATAAAGCTCTCACTGGTGCCAATCACACACATGTGTTTCCATCATTGTCGATCATGAATTTGGTTGACACTTCTATTATAGAAAAAGGGCGAATAGCAATATTAAAATATTTCTTCTAATTAATTTCCTTTCAATGTGCACAAATTCATGCACTGGGCCACTAGTAAAAGAATAAAGGTCTCACAAAAACTTCAGGTGCTGAAATGTTTATCATGGCCTCTCCAGATGGAAATCCAGCTTTTAGGATATTAGCAGAAACAGGAGAGTGAGAGTTTAAACTTTTACATCCTTCATGTAGCGCACAACTTTTTCCTTGTCTGCCCCACTCTCCTATTTGCTCTTGAGTCCCTTATCCTTACTCTTCACTTTCTATACCTTTTGTGAACTTCAAGGCTTCAGCTTTCCAATCTGCTTCCTTGTAACTTCTGACTCACCACTGCTGTGTCTATTTTACAGATATTTTTCTCTCTGAATGCTATTAGATTCGGTGTCTTCTAGTAACTACCAGATCCTCTTTGCATTTGAAATTAATTCCCAAAGCAAGTACCTGATAAGACCAGTTCATTAAATTACACCATGTCTTACTCTTGGTGATTGGCCAGCCTGTGGATTGGGTTCCTAAGAGCAAAGCCTACGCCAAGAACAGACCTGGTTAGGTAGTGTGCGCGTGCGCGCGCGCACACACACACACACACACACACACACACACCTTCTGTTTGAGCTGGCAGGCCCTGTGATTGATAGATCAGTACAACTTTGGCTAGCCAACGAAACACTAAACCTCTCAAGCAGTAACTAATTTTTAGATACCTGCATGGAAACGGAACTCATCCTATAAATTTCTGAACAGTAAGTCACACTGGTGATGTTATATCTACCGGGTCAAGTAATTAAAAAGAAACATTGTGGCCCTGGCTGGTGTGCTCAGTGATTATAGTGAAGGGTCTCAGATTCGCTTACTGGTCAAAGAAAAATACCTAGATTGCACATTCGATGCCCAGTCGCATGCATGCAAGGAGGCAACCATTGATGTGTCTCTCTCACATCAGTGTCTCTCTCTCTATTTCTCTTTCCCTCCTTCCCCCACTCCCCCAGCCTTTCCACTATCTCTAAAAATCATTGGAAAAAAGATCCTCGGGTAAGGATTAACAAAACAAAAAAAGAACAAAACCATAAGATGACACTGGTCAAAGGCATGAAGTAGCATAGTATGCTCAGATCATGACAAAGACTCTAGCAGCTAGAGAGTAAAGTGTGATTCAGGGGGTGACAGAAGATGAGAGTCTGGTTGGAAAGGGTCATGTATTTGACGGCCAAAGGGCCATGCTAAGGAACCTGACTTTATTCTTAGTTAACTAACAATAGTCAATAAAAAGCTTTAAGCCATAAAGTGGCATGGACAAATTTGTACTTTTGGTAAATCACTTTGGCAGCAATATAGAAGATAATTTTGAGGGCTAGATACAAGGATACCAAATGAGAGTTGGTTATGATAGTACTGAGGAAAGATTAGAGCCCTAATGAGGGCAGGAACAGTGAAAGATAGAGAAAAAAAAAGACGTATTTGATTAATTAGAAAGTAAAATTCTTAGGACTTCAATGATTAGATTGAGGAAAAAGAAGAGAATCCAAGCAGAATCTAGAATGATGTCCAGGCTACCAGTTACGCTGAGGCACAGAGAGTTTAATAGTAAAAGTTGTGCCATTGTCCTAGCTGGTTTGGCTCAGTGGATAGAGCATCGGCCTACAGATCAAAGGGTCCCGGGTTTGATTCCAGTCAAGGGCACATACCTTGGTTGCAGGCTCCTCCCTGGCCCACGCCCTGGTCAGAGCTCCTGCAGGAGGCAACCAATGGATGTGTTTCTCTGTCTTTCCCTCTCTCTTCCACTCTCCCTAAAAATCAATGGAAAAATATCCTCTGGTGAGGATTAACAAACAAACAAACAAACAAAAAAGTTGTGCCATTAACTGACTTAAGAAATACAGAAATATCTGCTCTTGTGGAGTGAAGACTTTTGAGTTCAATTTTGGGGCATCTTGAGTGAATGTTACCTGGGATGCCCAGCAGAGGTAGATATTCACAGGAATCTGAAGCTCAGGGCAGCAATCAGGACTGGAGTTGTCATCACCACTGATTTGCTGTGTGACCCTGGGTGAATCACTTCTCTGTTTTGCAGATTCTTAATCTATAAAATGGAGGTATTAATTTATTTGTCTCATAAAGTGGTAATGCCGCAGTCTTTTCACACCTAGGGTTCAGGAATCTGGAGAAGGGCTGCGCATAAATGAATAGAGACTAGACATGAAATGTAAATTTGGAAGGCATGTGGGAAAGCCAGGTGGAAACTTAGCTCTAGTGCTAAGCTCCCCGAATCTCCGGACCCATGACTTTTTATTTACTGGAAAACACATTGGCCCTTTAAGAATGCAAGCAGGCATATCAAAGGTAAAGTTTGGTAAACAGGGAAAGATTATCAGGTTAGGGGAAATGCCTACAGCTGTTCAGCAGCAGGTAATAATATGCAGATTTTCAGCCCTGCTGAAGCCCCAAGATCCATCAGCCTTCTGATGAACTTCTTGCATAATTATGACCTGCTGGAATTTGCCTCCAGTAGTAAGACTTTAATGATTTAACTCATGTCATATGCTTAGAATTGTGCCTGGCACATAAGTGGAATTTTATGGCATAAGTAGAATTAAATCTTATTATTAGGTGTTATTCCCAGGAAAAGTATTTAGGGCAGTGGTTCTCAACCAGGGCAATTTTATTTGACAGTGTCTAGAGACATTTTTGGCTATTACAACTTGGGTAAGAGAATACTTCTGTCATCTAGTAGTTAGTAGTTAGGGATGTTCCTAAGCACAGGACAATCCTCGTAACACAGAATTGTCTGATCCAAAATGTCTATCATGCCAAGATTGAGAAATCCTATTTTATGGTGAGAAGATTAGTGGGCTTAGGATACTTTTCTAGAGAACATTGAATTGTAAGGTGTTGGCCAAAGAGAACCTCTAATGGAGACCAAGAAGACATAGTCTAAGAAAATGGTCTTCAAACTCATTGGTCTCTAATGTCAGTTCTCAGTTCTTGAGTTCAGCAAAGAATCCAGAGCCAATAACTCTAGCATTAGATGAAGTTTATTTAGCATGCAAAGTGAAAGTATACTCGAAGAATGTGTTCCAGGCCGTGCAAAGCCATTTGAGTATTTCAAGCAGACAGCAGATATACCTTTTAGCTAGATCAGCCCCAAAGGAAAAGACACTAAAGACTGGAGGCCATATGGGAGGTAATAGCATTAGTTTAGTTGAGTCAAAAGATGGTGAAAGCCTGATTGGAGCAATGGGTGAATAGTAATATAGAGATATATTGAGAAGCAGAATTGCTGGTCTT